CACACACACAACACGTGCGCGCCCCAGTCCAAGCAATGCTGAGTGGGTGCGCATCTCATTCATCCTCACCACAACCCGACGGTTATGTTGCTCACGTTATGACTGGAGACACTGAGAGGCTAAGTCCCACAGTCACAGAGCAGAAGTGGGACCACACCCCGGTGCTAGCCCCAACACTCAGGTGGAGCCCTACCTCTCAGAACTCACCCCGACCCCAGGGCAGGGCTCCTTGGGCCTGGCCTGGAGCTCACAGGGGCCATTTCTGCAGGGCCGAGTGCATCCAGAGGGGGGTGTCCCCATCACAGGCACAGGGGCTGGGCTCCAACCTGGTCACAGAGGTGCGTGTCTACAACTGGTTTGCCAATCGGCGCAAGGAAGAAGCCTTTCGGCACAAGCTGGCCATGGACACGTACAGCGGGCCGCCATCGGGGCCGGGCCCAGGCCCGGCACTGCCCGCCCACAGCTCTCCTGGCCTGCCCGCCTCTGCCCTCTCCCCCAGCAAGGTCCACGGTGAGTGCTCTGTGGGCAGGGTGTTGGGGCCATGAGTGGGGGGAAAGGGAGGGAGGGGAGAGAGTTGGGGAGCACCGCCCCAGTGGCGAAAGTTACCCAAACCTCTTAGCGTTTCAGTTGGCTCCACTCCACTTTATTTACACTATTCTATCCACTCTATTACTCTCCCCTCCACTGACCACAACACGTCATCCACTCCACTCCATTCACTCTGAGCTGGGTTCACTTCAATTCATTCATTTCAGATCAAGTGAACTCAATTCATTTCCGGTCAATTCTACTGTTTATTATAATCCAGTTTGTTCATTTAGATTTGGTGCTGTTTAATCCAATCCAATTGCCAATCAACTCAATTTAATTAATATAATTCAAGGAAATTCAGTTAATTTTGTATGGCTTGGTTCGATTCAATCCAAATCAATTTGATTCAATTCAATTAAACTCAAGCTCAATGTATTTCAGGTTCAATTCAACTAGATTCAGTTTCATTAAACTAATTCCAATTATTTCTATTCAACTCAGTTTGCTGCAGTTTATTAGCTTCAGTTCAGTTTTTTCCAGTGGTTTTATTGAGCACCTACTGCATGTCGGGATGGCACTGGGCAGGGGGCAGGAGCTAATGAAATGCAGCCCTGTGTTCAGGAGTTGGAAGCAGCCAGCACCGAGCCTGGTAGGCGGCGCACATGCCAGGCCAGTTTGCTGGCTGCATGAAGAAAGATGGGCGCGTGCCTAAGCCAGCCAGTGAGGCCCCTGGAGGGCAGGAACGGGGTGCTGAGGCTGCACACTGCTCCCACTCCAGGTGTGCGCTACGGACAACCTGCAACCAGTGAGGGGGCGGAAGTGCCCTCGAGCAGCGGCGGTTCCTTGGTCACAGTGTCCACACCCTTGCACCAAGTGTCCCCCACAGGCCTGGAGCCCAGTCACAGCCTGCTGAGCACTGAAGCCAAGCTGGTGAGTGTCCCCCCATCCCCCACCCCCGCCCCGGTAGGTGGGACCCTCTCAACCCCATCTTCCCTTGGCTGGGAAGAGCAGTCCTCACTCAGCTTGGTTTCCCCTCCAAGGTCTCCGCAGCTGGGGGGCCTCTGCCCCCAGTCAGCACCCTGACAGCACTGCACAGCTTGGAGCAGACCTCCCCAGGCCTCAGCCAGCAGCCCCAGAACCTCATCATGGCCTCGCTTCCCGGGGTCATGACCATCGGGCCTGGGGAGCCTGCCTCGCTGGGCTCTACATTCACCAACACAGGCGCCTCCACTCTGGTCATTGGTAAGCTGGCGGGTGGGGGCACAGAGCCCGAGAGCCGAAAGAGCCTCTGGGACCATTCGCTCACTCATCCTCGTCGCTCACTGCCTGCTCTGTGCCAGGCTCTGCTACACTGGTGACACCCAGTAAACCAGACAGGCCCAGCTCGCCACTGGGGCGGCGGACAGTAAACGCAATGCGTGAGCAGAGGGCCTCCGGGGACAACGGCGTGGGCAAGACGAGCGGCAGGAGGGGGCCAATGTGGTCCAGGCTTTAGGCTTTTCTTTAAAGCCCAGAGGACTTTACTTACAGGAGCTATTATGCAGACGCTCAATGGTATATAAGACAGATGAGAGCTGATGGAGAGGAGAGCAGAGCTAAGCCCAGGGCCTTCGACGGCATGGAACCCAGGGCTCCAGGGAACCCAGTCAGACCCACCTCCTGCCCAGATAATGAGCCAGAGGCTCAGAGAAGGGGAGTGACCTGCCAGGGCCGTGAGTTAGTGACAGGGCCTAGGGCCTAGGGCAAAGGCATTTCCTATCCGCCTCCCGTCCTCCCCCAGCCCACTGGCTCTGGGAGGCAGGGGGGGATGGTGCCCCAGGGGGCCTGGGGAGGCAGTGGACATGGTGGCCTGGCTGACTCCTGCCCCTCCCGCTCCAGGTTTGGCGTCCACACAGGCACAGAGTGTGCCCGTCATCAACAGCATGGGCAGCAGCCTGGCCACCCTGCAGCCTGTGCAGTTCTCCCAGCCGCTGCACCCTTCCTACCAGCAGCCACTCATGTCCCCTGTGCAGAGCCACATGGCCCAGAACCCCTTCATGGCCACCATGGCCCAGCTGCAGAGCCCCCACGGTGAGCACAGGGGAGGGGACCTCGCAGATACTGTGGCCTGTGTGTGTGTCTGGTACAAGTGTGAGTGCTTGTGATGGAGGGGGCTCTGGGGGGCTCAGGTGAGTGTCTGTGGCCAGAACCTGTTTCCATGTGTGAATACGTGTGGCCATGTGTGTGCACGTGTGAGTGGAAACATATCTAGGTGTTCATCGGTATTTCAGGGGTATGCCCACGTGTGGGAACACAGGCCAGAGTCTTTCTCTGGAATTAACTATATTCAGATTTTCAAAGGTTAATATGGGGAACATACAATGGATTACATAACTCTCCCAGCAGTGTTTGGGGTTAACACTGGCACCAAGCCCTACGATTTCTGCAGCAAAAAGTAGAATTTTACCAAATAGATTAATTACGACTTAAATAGCCCTGGCGTGTTTGGCTCAGTGGATAGAGCTTCGGCCTGCGGACTGAAGGGTCCAGATTCGATTCCAGTCAAGGGCACATGCCCAGGTTGTGGGCTCGGTCCCCAGTAGGGGGCATGCAGGAGGCAGATCAATGATTCTCCCCGTGTGCATCTGATTGAGTGCATGCATTTACGTGTGTGATGTGGGTGGCTATGGTTTTATCTGTCAAGATGAGAATATGAGTTTTTCTACTGCTGTCTGTCTGTGTGGGGGTGGCTATTAGGTGAAATCTGGGTTACGTTTCAGAGGCATCCTGGCCATGGAAATATGCTGCCCTCCGCCCTGATGCCCCTCACAGGGGCAAGGCCGTCCCCGCTGAGGCCTGTTCAGCCTCCTGTTCCCTTTCACACCTGTTGTCTCCAGGTGCCGGGCGGAGCTGGGTGTGGGATTCCGGCCTTTCCCGGCTTCTCTCTGCAGGGGCTGAGCAGGCCCCTGTAATTGGGGAGAGGGTCCCAACCCTATATCTGAGCTCCATTTTGGAAATCAGCCCTGAGTCACCCCGCACTGCCCCATCAGGCCATTTCCCAGGCCTCACACCCCACTTCCCCAGAGCACCCAGCCCCGAGGCCCTCCTGGGAGGGGGCCAGCCCTGCCCACGGTGCCACGTCTGTACCCTCTTCTGTCTTCTCCCTCCTGGCCAGCCCTTTACAGCCACAAGCCTGAGGTGGCCCAGTACACCCACACGGGCCTGCAGACCATGCTCATCACGGACACCACCAACCTGAGCGCCCTGGCCAGCCTCACACCCACCAAGCAGGTAAGGCCCAGGGCTGCCCTGTCCCCCACCCCGCCTTGGGCCCGCCTCAGAGAACACCATGGGGCTCAGAAGGCGGCTCTGTTCTCCAGGTCTTCATCTCAGACACCGAGGCCTCCAGCGAGTCTGGGCTTCACACGCCAGCATCTCAGGCCACCACCATTCACATCCCCAGCCAGGACCCTGCTGGCATCCAGCACCTGCAGCCTTCCCACAGGCTCAGCGCCAGCCCCCCAGGTGAGCGGCCTCTCCCTGCTGGGTGTGTGCAGGGGTGGGGAACCGGTCCGCAGGCAGGATAAGGCCCACAGAATCATTTGGCCTGGCCCTGCCAGGGCACTAGGCGTGAGTTAAACATTTGACCAAATATAGCAGACTAACTTTTAAGTTGATATTGTGTGTGGCCCACGAATGTAATATCCAAATGGCCCTGGGCACAAAAACGGTGGGGCAAACTGTGAGTTGGGGGTAATGAGGCAGATCTTGGAGGGCACCCCGTGCTCCCCTGAAGTGAGCCAAGAGGGGTGTGAAACCACAGGGAAATGAGCACATCTCACAGAATCTACCTCACTGACGGTTGAGGAAAAGAGACAAAGTCATGGGAAGAGGAGTAAACTGTGCTGTTGTGGGCCAGAAGGGGCTCATGGGTGTGTGGGTGTGGTTCAGGGTTTAGCATTCTTTGAATCATTGCCAACATTTAAAAATTAGGATTTTTCATAAAAAATCGATTTCTGACATCTTTTGGAAAATTGGAAGGACTCACGTTTCCACATAGCAACAGAGTGTGGGCTCAGGCCACCATGCCCCCCCCCAACCCATTTATTCCCATCCCGCTAAGATCCAAGTCTGCACCCTACAAGGTCATGGTGAAGAGCAGGCACTGTCGAGTCCAGGTGCCGCGTTTTGAGGCCTGAGGCGGCCACCTGCTAACGCCAACTGTGGGCAAGTTGCTGCCCTTTCCGAGCCTCAGGCTCCTCCATCAGCCCTGGTGGCTGCAGGGAGGGCTTCATGGTCCACGCTCCATGCTTCCCCTGAGGAACTGTCATTTTACAGAGGAGAAGCAGACACTCAAGGTGAGGGACTTGGCCTTGCCTATGACAGCTACTAGGTGGCAGGGCCAGGACTTGAACCCAGGTCCAAACTCAAAGCCCATTCTCTTACCATCGGAATCTGTTGGGCTTCTCCCAAGCCAGAACCAACAGGACACATACCTATTTAAGGAATTGGCTCACGTGACTGTGGAACTGGCAAGTCCGAAAGCTGTTGGGCAGCTTGGCAACGCAGGCAGGCGTTGCTGCTGCATCCTGAGGTAGAGTCCCTCCCTGGGAAATCGCAGCTTTGCTCTTAAGGCCTCACCTGATGGGATGGGGCCCACCCACAGCACTGAGGGTTGTCTTTGCTGAAGTCAATGACTGTAGGTGTTAAGCACATCTACAAAACACCTTCACAGCAACACTCGATGAGTCTTTGGGTCAATGACTGGACACTACAGCCTAGCCAAGCTGACGCGTAACACTAACCACCTCACCATGTCACCAGCGCTTCTCTGACATTTCCACTAAAATGCTGAGAAGGCCACTCCCTGGGTGGCCCCAGAGCCTGCTGGGGGTCAGTAAGACAAGGGCCCACCTCCCCCATCCCCAGGGCCTCAGGGATGGGTGGGAGGGGTCGGGATGGGCGTGGTGGGCAGCAGCAGCTCCCTTTGCCTCTGCAGTGTCCTCCAGCAGCCTGGTGTTGTACCAGAGCTCCGAATCCACCAATGGCCACGGCCACCTGCTGCCATCCAACCACAGCGTCATCGAGACCTTCATCTCCACGCAGATGGCCTCTTCTTCCCAATAACCATGGCAGCCACCTCCCAGGGGCTGGCACCTGAAGCCTGCCCAGCGACTTGGGGGGGGGGGGGGGGGGGGGGGGGGAGGGCGCCTCGGGGGGCCCGGTGAGTGGGGGGGGGGGGGGGGGGGGAGACGGACCAGGGCATCTGAGCCTGCAAACATCTGCTACTACGGAGCTGCTGCCCTTCCCTAGACAAGTGGGCCTCGGCCCCACCCAGCTTGGCCAGCATCAGAGAGGGAGGGCTCTGAGGTGCCCCCACCCGAGGACTGCCTCAGCGCACAAGGGGGGACTGTGGAGAGCTGGGAGGCGGAGCCTGCTCCTGGCAGGACGGGACTGTTCCTGCTGCTCCTGGTAAATCCTGTCACTTGGAAAAGAGGGGACAGACTCTGGACGCCGGCACGGCCAGCCTGGGCCTCTGGAGAGCCCCAGTACTCCCAACAGAGCCCTGGCAGTCACTTCTCAGGACACAAGCCTGTGCAGCTGGGCCTCACTGAGCTGAGAGGCCTTAGACCAACCTGTTACCTACGCCCTGTCCAGGCCACTCCACCTGCCCCCTCCCTGCGATTAACCCATCTGCCCATTTGTTCCCACCCAGCCCCCACTCACATTGGCATTCCGGAGGGGCTGTTCTGCCTGAGGCCTGGAGCTCAAGCAAAAGAAGGCAGCAGGGCTCTCAGCTTCCCCCTCCCGGGGCCCTGTGACCGTGTTTCCTGGGACATTTGTTCCCGAGCATCATGCCTTCCGGTGCCAGCCTGTATCTTGCCTCTGCTGAAAAGCCCCAAGGCTAGGAGGTGTCCTCCTCCTGTGGAGCCTTGCAGCTTGGTGCCTGGTGCTGAGTCCTGGGGCAGCGGCTCCTCTGGCCTCTGGGGCCCTGCAAACCCTCCCCTGGTTTGGAGAAGCTGCTGAGCTCAGAAGGCAGCAAGGCCTGAGCAGCTGGCAGAACAGAGGTGCCCAGGGGGAGAAGGGAGAGACGAGACCAGCAGAGAGGAGTCACCTGTGTGGACAAGCCTGGGGCCTGGAAGCCTGGGCCTGAGGGAGGAGGCGGCCCAGGCAGATGCAGCCCGAAGAGCCCGAGTACCACCCGAGGAACAAGGTGCCGTGTCACCGGGCTCCTGCGGCCTCCCCTCCGAGGCTGCTGCGAGAACCGGACCCTTTAGACCAGCAGTCGCCAACCTTTCGGACCTCACGGACTGCCAGTTGGCGACGCTGCTTTAGACCACCTCCGTCCTGGGACCATGAGGAGCTGCATCCCCTGCAGCTGGCAGCCAGCTAAAGACGAGCCTGTACATTATTTAACTTTTAATAAAGTAAACGAGGAACATACTGGAAACTTCTTGCTTGTCCCCCATTGCCCAGTGGGGTTGGGCAGGCAGAGGGAGGCGGAGGTGGACCAGGAGCCGGAGGGATGGGTCCAGCACACGCAGACTCTCGGGGGCCACCTGTCGTTCTTGCTCTGCCGAATCTACGCGACGGTGCCAGCAGTTTACCTTAACCTTGGCCTTCTGCTCCGAGAATAGGCCTCGTGCATGAAGCCCAGTCCACAAGGCCTGTGGCACTTCCGTAGCCGGCAGCCGGGACAGGGACACTCCTGTGTGGTGCTGATTTAAAATGTAAAATGTCTCATCAGCATTCAGCACTGCTGGAGGCAGCACCCCATCACTTAGTTCTGTGCTGGGTCTGACCCTTAATTTTCGATAATCTGGTTGAGATATGATTGTGTGTGGTGTATTCACAAATGTAGAGACAGTTCTGGAAAATGAGGGGGGAAATCTCCCCTTTTTCAGACAATGTTAAATCCAGTCACAGGGCATTGGGGAGAAGCACAAACTCTTTGGGCCTTGACACCTCAGGGACCTCTTCCCTCATTTTCTTAAGACTGTCTCCCACACCAGGCTGAGGAGGTGGGCAAGTCTCCCTTCACTCACCTCCCCCGACAGCCCTGGGGAGACGGAAGCGTCACCGCTCGGCTATCAGCCTTGACTAACTGGAAGGCTCCTTCTTCCGAGACCCCGGAACGTTCAGGTACCACACGTCTGCCCCAGCCAGTGGGAGCACAGGGGGCAGGCCTTGCTTAGGCTTCTCACTCTACAACCAAGGCTTTGCCCCGACTCCTGGGCCAGCCCCGTTCGTGAGCAGAGTCTGGACTTACAGCCAAGTCCCTGAACGTGGAGGAGGCAGCGCCTGGAAATGCCCCGTCCCAGTGGCACCTCATCCCTGGGGCTAGCTGGGCCCGCCCTGCACCTGGTCAGTGTGCGGGCGAGGCTGCCGCGCTCTTTGATGGTGGGAATGGGGAGGCCTCAATGGCCCTCTTTGCCTTTTTCTTCCTTCTCTTCTTTTTGGTTCCCAGGGACACAAGGTCTCCGTTGAGCTTGGCTGACTCCTTTCCCTGCTTCCCGGCGGTGGCCTTGCTTGTGATGGTGGTGGCTGTGGTCAAGTCTGTGCTGGCCTCCTTGGCTTTCTTTTTCAACTTCCTTTTCTTCTTTGCTTCTTTTTCCACCCTGACAGCACCATGGATGGCGGACTCCTGCAGAATGGCAGAGGCTGACACAGCTGCCTCCTGGCACCGCTGCCACTCCTCATCACTGTCCTCACTGCTGCAGGGAGAGGGCAGTCTGGGTCAGCTGGGGCTGGGACTGAGCCCGAAGTTGCCCCAGAGAGCGCCCATGGGGGGTGGGCGGCAGGTAGAGAGCTCCGGCGCTCGGGAGCGAGGCAGACCTGGGTTCCAATACTGCTTCTCTGCTTCCTGGCTATGTGAGCTCATTCAGTAACCTCTCTGACCCTCAGTGTCTTCATCTATAAAATAGGGATCTTCACTGAGCCCAGGCCTCACTAGGATGTCCAAGGAGTGAGGCGTCTGGCACAAGATGGGTGCTCAAAAGCAGTAACCCTCCAAAGCCAGCCCCCGCTGAGTGTCCTCCCCCCCCCCACAGAGGGTGCTATTTCTCAAGCTGCCTGACGGCTCCTCCTTGGCTGGGACCGCACCGATCTGCCTGGCTACCCTCAGACACTGGCCAACCCGGAAAATGGGCAAAACCAAGGGGACTTGAGGAGAGGATGTGCGATCTCACCTGGAGCGGGAAGGCAGTCGCTTTCGGCGGGGCTGGGGAGCAGCTGTCTCCTCAGGGCCTTCGGGGACGGAGGTGAAGAAGAGGCGGAAGCCTAAACCCCAAAGGGGCAGAGTCAGCACTGCCAGGGCCACCTCTCCTCCAGGCGCCAAGGGTGCTCTGCCTCTGCGCTCAGGGAGTACCTAGTCCAGAGGCAAAGACCCAGGAATCGCTCCCGTCTAAGCACAAAAGGACGCCAATGTGTGGAGGGGCCTGCTGAGGCATCAGCGGCCAAGAGGCCAGCATGCCCTCAGCGGCGTTTGGGACTCAGCAGTTGAGCCTCCTGCCTAAGGCAGCTTCCAAAGCGGCAATGAGCCTGACAAGGGACAGACAGACTCGGACGGGAGAGACTGTGCAGGGTGGTGGTGGGAGCTCTGCTCAGGGATAGACAGACGTGGTCCCCTCAGGCGAGGGCCTTCATCCCCGAGAGCCTCAGCCATCCTTACAGTCCCCCTTAGGGGGTCAAAGGAGGTATCATCATACCTGCCTCAGAGCAGATGCACGGACGACAGAGGGTAATACACCAAAGCTATTTCCTAGCTCCAGACCTACGGCAGGTGCTTACTAAATGACAACTGATATTAACTGTACTAGAGGCCTGGTGCACAAAATTCGTGCATGGGTAGGGTCCCTAGGCCTGGCCGGCAGTGAGGGCTGATTGGGGCCTTCCAGCTGCCAGCAGGGGCCTTCCTTCGTTCTGCACCACCCCCTGGTGGTCAGCGCACGGCATAGCAAGCGATCAAACTCCGGGTCTCCCAGTCGAACTCCCGAGGGGACACTTTGCATATTAGCCTTTTATATAGAGATGGAAGATGTCTACTCACCATCATCCTCCGGGGTGGCTTTCTGTATATCCGCCTTTGTTGGTTCCTTCACAGCTTCCGAGATGGTAATGGAGCTATGGGAAGATGAGATGGTTGATTTAGGATGAAATTTTGGGTACCAACAAAATCTTTTTCAAAAAATTAACCCCATTATTTTTTTTTTTAATATATTTTATTGATTTTTTACAGAGAGGAAGGGAGAGAGATAGAGAGTGAGAAACATCGATGAGAGAGAAACATCGATCAGCTGCCTCCTGCACATCGCCCACTGGGGATGTGCCCGCAACCCAGGCACATGCCCCTGACCGGAATCGAACCTGGGACCCTTCAGTCCGCAGGCCGACGCTCTATCCACTGAGCCAAACCGGTTTCGGCAACACCATTATTTTTAAGTGTAGGGGATGGGGCATGCAGTCTTAAATGCAAAAGCAGACAGCACACTGGCCTGAAGAAAGCTAACACCCACAGCTATATCTGCTGAGCAGCTGCTGCCACTCAAACTGCAGGGCTTCATTTGTTTAAGCCCCACTTTATCCCAGAAAATGCTGAGGATTTTTAAGATACTCACAGCACAGCCCTAACCGGTTTGGCTCAGTGGATAGAGCGTCGGCCTGTGGACTGAAGGGTCCCGGGTTCAATTCCGGTCAAGGGCATGTACCTTGGTTGCAGGCACATTCCCAGTGAGGGGCGTGCAGGAGGCAGCTGATCGATGTTTCTCTCTCATCAATGTTTCTAACTCTCTATCCCTCTCCCTTCCTCTCTGTAAAAAATCAATAAAATATATTTTTTAAAAAGATACTCAAGGCACAACAAAATAAATACAATTTCAAACAGGGCTAAGAGAAAATAAACGCCGGAGAGACAGAAATAGTCAAAGTGTAGTGAGGAAGTCCTATAACACTTGCTTTTTGTTGTCTTTTTCAATTTTAATTAAAAAAATTTTTTGAGATAACTAGATTGATAAGCAGTTCCAAGAAATAATACAGAGAGATTCCATATACTCTTGTTTTTGTTTGTTAATCCTCACCAGAAGATATTTTTTCCTTTGATATTTATTTTTTTTTTAAATATATTTTATTGATTTTTTAGAGAGGAAGGGAGAGTTTTTTATAGAGTTAGAAACATCAATCAGCTGCTTCCTGCACATCCCCCAATGGGTATATGCCCTCAACCAAGGTACATGCCCTTGACCGGAATCAAACCTGGGACCCTTGAGTCCGCAGGCCGACGCTCTATCCACTGAGCCAAACCAGTTAGGGCTCCATTGATATTTAGAGAGAGTGGAAGGGAGGGGGAGAAACGAGGAGAAAGGAGGAGTTAGGAGGAAGAGAAAGGGAGAAGGGGAGGGGGAGAGGGAGGGAGGAGAAAGGAAGGGAGGGAGGGAGAGAGAGAGAAACATCAATGTGAGAGAGTCACACTGATTGGCTGCCTCCTGCATAAGTCCTGACCAGGGCTGGGGATAGAACCTGCAACCCAGGTATGTGCCCTTGACCGGGAATCAAAACCATGACCCTTCAGTGCTCAGTCCAGTACACTAACCACTTACCAACATTGGCCAGGGCAAGATTCCATATACTCTTCATCCAGTTTCTCCCTATGGTAACATTGTGAGTAACTGCAGTTCAATATCACAACCAAGAAACTGACATTGATACAATCCATTGGCCTTATTTAGACTTCAGAGACCTGGGTTTTGAATCCTGGCTTTCTTAGTTGTATCCCTTTTGGTGAGTGACTTCACCTCTCTGAGCCTGTTACCCATCTGCGCACTGGGAGCCCCTACCTCTTCGGACTACCACAGGAGCAAATGAGATAACGGATATCAAGCCCTTAGCACAGAGCCTGGCCACAAGCAGCAACTCAGTGAATGGTACATGTGATGACGATTACTGTCATCATGATAAGCAGTAAGTTCCACAGGCCCTCTACCAAAAATAAACCCTCTCTCCAGAAGCAGAGCAGGGAGAGCTGGAGACCAGGACGCCTGTCTCTGGTGATGCTGACAGAGGTCACTGTGCCCTACAGAGAACAACGCTCTCAGCACGTCCTCTCAGCAGACACAGCAGCGTGCCGGGTGCTTGCTCCTAACTGCCTTCCGCACATGCCAAAGGCACCCCCAGGAAGTCAGCCGGGAAGAGGAACTGGAGACGACGCCACCCATGCCTGACTGGTCCGGCATCTTAACAAAATGGTTCGATGCTGGTCCCTTGGAGTATTTGGCAATGTCTGGCCACATTTTTGGTTGTCATAGCTGCTGGGGGGAATGCTACAAGGACCTAGTGGGCAGAGGCCAGGCATGTTGTTGACCACCCTACAATGCACAGAACAGTCCCACAAACAAGAACCAGCCAGTCCAAACGTTAAT